GTTCAATGTTCTGGCAGAGATTTTATTTATTTATTTATTAAAAGAAAAAGGCATGTGCTAATGAATATGATTAGAACTCTGCTTATCAATCTCTGTCAAAAGCAAGACCATTTTCTTTGGGTGACTGCCATATTTATTTCCCTCCACACATGTTTTTTAATAAAGAATGAGGTTCTTGTATGGTGTCCCTTAAGACCTGTCAAATATTGCAACAGAACAGCAGACTTATGTACAATTTTAGCACCATCTCATAAATCCCTTTGGCTAAGTTTCTCTTCTAGAAGCAAGACAAAGATCGGTTTACATTACAAGGAGGTTTAAATCCAAAGCCTAAAGACCTCCCACAATATAATACGCAGTTTTAAACGAGTATAAAATCGTTAAACAGCTTCACTGTTTCATTCATTAGAGAACACATACAGGGAGAGGGAAAAAAAACAAGAAACAACCTACCCCTGTAATTCAAAGGTGATTGCACAGTGCTAATGTAAAGATAACTGCCTTGGCCTATGACACATCTGAACCCTCAATATTAAATCCTGCTTTGTTGACAGAAGAGTCAGTGATCCTTAACTTCTATCTGAAGACTCTCTCATCAATGACTGTGGTTTAAAATAATCATTCTTGTCAAAGAACAATCTTCTTCTTAATGTACAATCTTCAGACCACTCCTCTAGAACATCCTGTCATCGCATACTGCACCTGCAAGGGGTTAATCGCCAAATGGAAGGGTAGTTCAAGCAGAGATCAGAAAGCCACAATTGCTTGGCTTCTATCCCCCTCTTTGCTACCAATTTGCTCCATGGCCTCCAGTAAACACAATCTCACTGTGAAGATTTATGCATCTACAAAAATTGGGGTATATTATGCTTTACTGCCCTAAAAAGGTAACTGTAAGTTTAATATTCAGAAAGCCACATAAAATTTTCAGAGGAAAGGCAATGTGCCATTGATGTAAAAGATTTCCAAAACAAAATATAGAACTGACTGATGAAGCTTAGTTGTTCACAGATCATCAGTTGTTTAAAATTAAGTTTCAGCCTTTTGCCAGCCAGTTTTCTTTCATTTCTAGCATCAAAATTACTTTATTATTTCTATTTATTACAAAATATTTCCTGTGCACTCCACAGATAAGCAGATCTGGTTTATATACACAAATGCATTAGTATTAAAGACTGGACTAAGACTACTTCCTAATTTCACACAGGACATGGGGAAAAAAAAAAAAACACCAACCAATAAACAAAACAACACAAGTAGTAGCAGCAAGTTTCCTTCATTAACAAAGGAAAACTTATTTATATCAACAACTTGAGAGGAGATATTAAAAATGTCCTACATGAGTTACTCCTCAGGAGTCTATATGAACCAACATTACTACTGACGCTGAGTACTTTGTCTACAAATATGGCAATCCTTATTTTACAAAAATCTGGACCTCAGATAATTTTAAGGATCAAATTTAATGCACGTATAGCTGGGATTTACAAGTGCGTCATTTTGTAATTTCTCTTTGAAGATGAGTCTTACCCATCTTAAGTTGCCAAGTTTCACATATTTCACATCTTATTTGGCTGGAAAAAAAAAAAGAATGAAGTAATGTTCTGTGCACTCAAAAGGATTAAAATTTGGTATGACTAAAGTGAACAACAGCTAACAATCTTCTAAAGCATTTCACACTGAAAAGTTTATCTGACTTTATAAAAATGAACTTGTATGCAAAATCCATTCCTATGAAGCCCATACAGAAGTACTGTAAAACTGGAGTTCTTCAACATATAACAGCATAGTTCCCTGCAACTTTTCAAAAAATCTGACATGCATAAAATAATTTGAGTGCTTTGAATAAATGAGTTTGATGTATCACTAAAGACAAGTAGTAACACAGCCCCAGAAGTAATCAACAACAGTAAAAAATAAATGTACAAAGAAGCCATGTGTTATTTGATCTACTTCTCTCACAATTTCCAAGTTTCACAATTCTCATAGCATCAGCGACCAAGACATTAAAACTGTCGTCATGTGTGCAGAAAATTCTCTGTTCACCAAACTAAGAGATTCTGCTTTGATGTACCATTCTTTATATGTGCCAACTAGGCTTGAACCAAGAGGCACTTCAAACCAAGCTATGACTGTAAGGTTACACAATTCACATCAGTTCCTAGAGGACAGAAATCCATCAAGAATTCCTTAGGTCAGAACAAGAGAAAAAGGGCTGGGAACTCGTGCTGGACATAGATTTCAAAATATCATCTGGATTACTTTATTTTTTACATATAAGATATTACATAAAGAACTCATGGTCAGGATGAAAGCTGTTCACTGAGCATGGTATAAAACAGGGCTAACAACTCTCAAGAACTGAGTGGTCCAGAAAAAGAGCAGAAGGATCAGTAACGCTCAGCTCAGTGGTAGACTATTGGCAAATGACAGCTGCTTGGAAACTGAAGCATAACTCCATAAGAAGAAAGAAGGCAAGAAAAAAGACAGCTAAGCCAAGTGGTAGAACCTCAACAATCTTCTTGTCACTCACGAAGAATTGCTGCTAGTCAGTTGACACATCACAGCTCAAGCCACAGCTATGTAACTGCTAAGTAAGCATGCACTTCCTATTTTTAAGGAAAAGGCAAGAGGCTTAAAAAAAAAATCCACAAAAGAAATAACAACAGCAACAACAAAAAAAACCCCAGCTGGTGTCTTCAACAAAGGAAACTATCACCCCCCAAAATTCTGCATCATTTAAGGGTTTTTGATATTCCAGATAAGCAGCTTCTTTTACTTTGGGAAAATCTCAAGTAATGTTTTTCAGCACTCCAAAGAAAGATAGGGGGGAAAAAACGGAAAGAGATCAGAAACTACTTTTTCACAGTTAAGTTGCGAAAAAACAAAGCAGGAAAATGTGAATGATTAATGCTTAAGAGGAAATGCTAAACATAATATTGACAACACCTTTTTACAGCACATTTTTAGCTGCTGAATGAGTTTTTAAAAATAGTCAAGAAAACTGATTATTTATGTCAATAAAAGAGCTATTCTTTTTAGAATTTATAGTCACTGTACTGACTACAAAAACCCATTAGCTTTGCAAGTCTCCTGAGTGTCTTTAGCTTCACAAATCTAACTTTGTGCTATGTTTTAGCCATGTTCCATGCTATTTTTTAAGAAGTACTTCTGCTTAAAGTAATCTTAAATCTCCTTCTACTGCCTCAAATAAAAAAATTTATACATACTCCAGAAGAACTTACTCAAAATAACTTTCATCATATCCAAAGAGAAAGCATTTTCACATATAATAATTTTTTAATCTCATGTTTTATAGTGCAAATGTCTTTGAAATAGAAAGTAATTAGCGTTTCCACCACAGGAGACAACATACACCAAGTACTATACTTCACTATTTCCTCTGTTGAGATCCACTACATAGCTCAATAGTGAGCAATATGCAAAAAAATCATAATTAAGTTTATTACAAAGCATGTAATGCTACAAGTGTTTAGCAGTCTGATCACAGGATTTATATCCAAGGTTATTTACTATTCCTGTGCTTTTCTGTACAGTCAGACTTATGACATGCTAATGCATATTTATGTAATAGATCAGTAGGGCTTCATTCAATTGCAAATACATTCCCATACCTTCAACTGAACAAAGTATCTTTATGAAGTTCTTCCACACTCCTATTGCAGTTGTATAACACTTACATATTCTGAAATATACAAGGAAGATTCAGATGGGACTATCACCTACCACGCAACACATTTTTAAAGCCTTCAACAAAACCAGCTGACATTTTATGCTCACATTTTAAATGGAAGAAATCAGGATGCATTTAAGAATCTTTTTGACCACTGGGTGCCACTCTTGTTCTGTGTAAAATGAACTGCCTGGCACTAACTCAGTCTTCTCAGTCTTTTTTTTTTTTCCCCCCAGCTTTAAACAACTCTGATTCTTTTAAGTGGGAGGAAAAGATGCAAGAATTTTTACACAAGTTTCTATAAAACACTTACTACTTTTCGAAACCCTTTACTGTTGCTTCTAACCCCAAGAATGCAATTTTGAGAGAAGTCGAGTGCACACAGACCCTTATGAAGGATTTTTTTTATGGTGAAGTTATCTAATAACCTAGTTACACTATGTCTAAATCATCACATTCAAAGGAATAGATATCTACTACAACTGTGCAGCCCTGTGGCAGATAGAAGTACAGCCACAAGATGACATTCTTAGATTAGATTGTTAATATTTCAGTTATAGTAACAATTCATTCTTGTCTGAACATTTAGGGTGAATTTCATCCTTGTCCCTAAGTTTTGAGTGTAACACTATCCTGTGCACTTTATTTATCATAACAAACAATCCCACACCAAACATCATTGCAGGCATATGTATGTTACAGCCCTACTATTTAATACTATTTCTTACATTTCACAGATGGGAACCTGAGCTACAGACTAAGAAGTGCTCACAGAAATGAATATAATGTATGATGGAAATACCTACTCATCAGTCCAGCTGAGAAAAAAGGGAGGTCAGAACAAGGCTATGGTGAACTTCATAATCCCATTATCCGCCCCACCAGCCTTTAAAATGGCGCAGGTATCTTTCCACTGTATTGTTGCCCCAAGGTGCTGCAGTCACAGAAGCAAATACTACACCAAAGAATTCTCTGAAGTCATGTAAAAAGTATGACTGATCAGGGAGATGAACTAAATTACTTACAGTCCCAAGCTAACATCTTAAAGATGCTATCATTATGCCTCCTCTCCTTACCAAACAAATACTAAAATAGAGACTTTCATGTCATACCATTTATTTCATTTGTATTTCAAACACTGCAACTAGAAATCACTTTTCCACTATTGTTTTTACTTCAACAAGTGTCCTTTCCCACATACCTGCCATTTCATTGCTCTGCTCTACAAACTGTTTTGATAACAAACAAAAATGCCCTAAATAGTCCCAGCCTATGCATTGCACTACTGTAAAGTCTTACAAAGTACCTGTATTCAGGCTGCCGACTTATAGGATGATCATCCCTTGGCCATCTGTATCCTGATTCATCCTGCAAAACACACATACAAAACAATTGTGTGACATGTATCTCAACATCAGATGTCAGGTACAGTTAGTTGCCAAATGGTACTTATTTACCGCAAAACCAAAGCATTTAATGCACTAAAAGAAAGTACTAATCATTCACAGCAAGGTTCTTCTCAGTTTATTCACTCTGCCCCGTTCCTCTTATTTTCTTCCTCTATCAATATTAAGGAGAGCGACTTTGAAATGCTGCACAAAACACAAAAACTAAAAAAATTTTCAAACTATATACATTGGCCCTGACTTAAAAAAAAGAAAAATTTCCCCCATTGAAATGTAAATTATCACCAATAGCTTGAAATTACAGAATTTCAAACAGCTGGGTTAGAGGAGGTGAATGAACTTTCAAAGGGACCATAAATTTTGTACTTAAGTGTAGCTATTGGGGAAAAAAAAATATGAATTCAACATCATGACAGAATTTAAATAAATTAACAACTGCGAGAATTAGAAGGGTATGCAGACAACATTCAACAAGTTGCATGTGCAAGCACTTATTAAATAGAAAGATTTTACAACCATTCTTCTATTCATCCAGATAACTTTGCACTGCATTAGAGTCACTAGCCACTTTTGTTTTCCCAGTTCAGACTCTGAGCTTTCCACAGTGCTGGACAAGGGCTCTTTTCTAAGTAAACAGAGTAGCTAGTAACCGTAAGAAGCAGCAACAGTTATTACCTTATAATCACAAGAGTCTTAGAAGCACAGTAACTGCAAAAAAGCACCAAGTATCAAAACCTGGATGTTTTTTCTATTCATTTGATTTCAGTTTATGGGAACAGCAGTAACACCAATGCTCTGTCTGAAATAATATTTTAATTGTTCAGTATTCAAGCATTTATGAGAAGATAAACGTCATAAACATGTGAGAAGAATCACCTTATGTACACCTCGGTGTGGAGGGCCACTTCTTCGGTCGTGGGCAAAACTGCGACCCTCTTCATAGTCTCTGTACTCAGCGTGACTGTAATCATCATACCGACTGTAATTCCCATCCCCAGGTCTTTCGAGCAGTGGTGGTTTCTTGGGCACAATGTTTACTACTCTATGGTAATCATCCTAAACCACAAAACAAACAAAATCATATTGCTTTTAACAGCTTGAAATCTGTAGTGAATATACAAAAGTAAAAACCACAAGTTATTTCTAAATATGGGACTACAGTAATCTTAAAGCTGAAATAGCACAGGGAAACAACAAATATTAAAAATCATGCAAGTCTGGTGGTGGAATAATTTATTAAATCTATTTGGACACCATTCAGATACAATCCTTAGTTTAATTATAGGGGGGGAAATTTTCAACACGGTTTAAGTTTCTTTTGAAACTTTTGAAACTTTAAAGCAGCAGCATTAGCTACTTTCTAAGCATCAGCTACTTTTTTTTAAGCGTTAACTACCTGTATTTCTCAGACACTTTTACATTAACTTAGGAATGCAATAGTTACACCTGTAACACCTGTGAAACAAAGAGCCCATTTGAAAATATAATCAATTTCCTTAATGTCAATAACATCCTCCACACTATCGAGATTATAGTGAAGACAGTCCTTGCTTCATAATCTGAATAGATAAGCACCTTCTCAATACAATGCAGTAGGTGATCAGAGGATTCAAGTGGCAAGAGAGAATTTGAACACTCATGTTTTTCTTTTAACACAAGTTTCAGATAGCTTTTTGCTAGAATGCAAAATTAATTTATTGTATTTCCTTCAAATAAAATGTCATCCACCATTTACCAATTAAATAAATCCTTTGTTTATTAAGTGCAAATTGCACAGCTGCAAAAGATACAAATTCAATTTTCTAGAACAAAGTATTATATAAGCCAACTGCAAATAAAAAGCAAACAAAAACATGAATGCAAGACCTTGTATTTCAAGTCTTCTTCCTTTAGCAAGATATTTTTTCTATGGGCCTTAAAAACACAAGCTACAAATGCAGAGACTTGAGTTGGCATGTGCAATTTGGAGGGGGGGAAGGATACTCAAACTAGCTTTTTTAATAGTAGTATAAAGTCACAATCTAATACACCAATAGCTTTTGTAGAAAAACACAATAAATTCACAAACTGCTAAATATTGTCATGCAAAAAAAAGTTAGTTCTGATTTCAGAGACCACCCAACAAATTCACTACAGGGCAATCCAAAGCCAGCCTACAGCCATACTGATGGAAAGTAGAGACTACATACACATTCATACACAGCCACAATGCTTGATCTACCCTTACCGCACTGAATATCCTCAACGCGTATTTTTTTTTTAGTTTGGTGTCTTACAAAGATTTTAGCTCTGAAACTAAAATAAAACTGCACTGTGCTTTAACCTTACCCAGAAGCCCCCATCACATAACTATACTGACATACAGAAGGATAGTTACATGAAAACTCAAGGTGTACCCACTTACAGTTAATTGTGCCAAGTGCTTGAAACTTTATGTTGTTTACCAGGATCTGAAAGGATGTGTTTCTACTAGTCTCTACTTGACATAGAATTAGCACCTGGTTTAAATTAGGACAAGTCTCTTGCTCTTTCAAACAAGAGATACTTCATTCTGTATCACTGGCGTGTCTCAGTTCCAGTGTACTAACCTATCAGCAAATGCCAAGTGTGTTCATATATTGAATAACGTAATTCCATTTTACTTGTCTAGTCAAAATTAAGTCAGACCTGTACACATGGACACAGATACAATGGCACAGGCTTACAAGGACAGAAACTGCCTGCCAATTATCTTGAATCATCAGAGCTGTATGAGAGGCAGCTTCATATCCATCTTTCAGTAAGGCAGAGAGACACCAGATCTTGGTTTGCCCAGCTACTGGGTGTGTTGTTTTGGTGCAGATGGATAGTATTGAATCTGAAAAATGAGTGTATTCTGCTAGTCCCTTCATCCCCAGTTCCAAACACATGTAATACAAAGCTAGCATTGAACTACACAGTTAATTCTTGCATCAGAATGAGTGCATCACATCTTTTCAATTTTAAAGGAAATTTTCATAATGCGTATGCCATGCATTGTTCCCTGGACAGCTTGAAAGACCAAAGAGATTTAGGAATATCACTGTTGCAACGATTAAATTAAATTAGCAATGTGTTAGTCAAATCAAATGTTGATTTTAAAAAAAAAAAAATCTGTGAAAATACATTCTGCCTTTCCTCATGTCCTATTGCTGGTAAGTGTTTTGGAGAAGCAGCTGACTAAATACCCTGTGCAAACTTATCTGATTTCCAGTTTGCTGAAAATGTAGAAATTTTGTTGTTGCCTGTAAAGAGAGTTAGAAATGTCACAGAGCAGCCAAACACTAACACACCACTCAATAGAGAAGACTACGTAACTAGTTACCAAGTTACCAACACTGGTACACTTCCAAAACAACAAGCTGAAAATATGGTAGAGGGAACCCAGAAAGTACGCTAAATCAGCTATGCTACTATTCCAACATTTAAAAGAACTAAAAGAAAAGCCAGATAACAGGCACAGGTACCTGAAATTTTATTTTGCCAAATGTACCTTGCACAGCATCTAAATAGAAATGTCAAAAAGTATTCTTAAAATTCTATTTAAGGTGTAATAGCTCAAAAGACAAAGCTAAAACCTGTTTTCTTTCTTCTTTAGAGACTTCAGACACAGGAGAAAAAAAAAAAATTACCCAGCTCTTTGGCACAGAGATTTTCTAAAAGCATTCTAAAGTTATTCTACAGCAGAGCAAGCATAGCTTCTGCGTTTGCTTTTACAAGCACAACATACAGTAGAAGTCTCCATGTCTATGAAGTAGATTTCCATTGACACTCTTCTTGATAAGCATTTCCCTTACAAGGCTTCAAAACACAATTTCTTTAGCAAAGATGTATTTTCAACATTTGTTATAAACATTTCCTTCTATACTTTAAGCATCATAACAAAAAACTGCATCAGTGACAACATCAATACCAAACGTAGTGATTTTACCATCTCAAATCACTTCAAAGATGTATTAACATAACAAAAAAAGTCTGGAGAAAAATTAACATAGTATGGCCTTTGGTTCTCCAGAAGTTATTGAAAATCCTGTGTTTAATACCACAAAGAATTACACCAAAAAAATCAATTTATCAAAATACAAGTGTTCTGAAACACTTTGAATAGATTTGGAAATACAAGATTTAATTTTGTAGGCATTCTATTATCTCTGTGCAGATATATTTGCTAGACTGTTGGCTTAAATGACTGAGAAAAGAACTTGGGGTATACTAGGAACTTAAATATGTCATAAATCCAGCCCTTATAGCACAAGTCATGGTATAAAGGTATAGCATAACAGTATAATGCTAAAGAAACATACTATACACTTACATCAGGATGAATCCTTGGAGGGAGACGTTCTCTTGGAACTCTTTCATAGTCATATCGCCCTTCAGACCACATTTCATCTCTTCGATAAGCCACTAAAGACAAAAATCCAATTAGTCAAAACCAGACTCACGAACAGATGAAAGAACAGTGAGCATAAAGGTTCCCAGTGTAATGTATTATGCACAAATCCTGTACCTACACTTTTTTTTTTCAATTAGCCCTTTCAAAAGTAAGTCTATCTAGTTATAGAAGTAATTAATGAACTTTAAGCAAAAATAACTCACAGTATGTCAAGAACAACTGAACAACTGGAAATTAGTGCAGTACAATCAGTATAATTACAGGACTTACAGATAATATAAACGGCTCTATTGAAATATATGCATATTGCAAATATCAGCTGTACATATAAATTCATACACACATACCTTATAGCAATTTTGATACTGCTCTGCTAAAAATAGAGGATTTTTTTTTAAAAAAGCATTCAATTCCTATTTATTAGGTTCAAGAATTTCTACTTTTTAATATAATATAATTTTGATTGAATTATTTCATCATCTCAACCATGTGGAAAGAGGTTAAAACACAACACATCAGTTAGTACAAAGCTCCGCATTTTGAATACATGAATGAAATGCATTCTTCACATGCAGATTTTCCCTGTTTTAAATTGGGAGCCAGCAGAACACAAAAATTCCTCTTTCCAGAGAAAGATGACTTTCAAAGTCAAAATTAGTAACTAAATACAGGTGAAAATACACCATCACCATAAGAAATTCTAGTCATGCTATGTTAGACAACACAAACTTGAGGAGCTGAAACCTTTCTGATGATTATAAAGGCAACAAATTATATGCTATACATCATTGAAAACAGATAAGAAATTGCTAGAATTATATTTTTCAACGTTTTCCTTCACAATGGTAGTTCTAGCTATTAAAAATAATCAATAAGAAGCAGCGGGACATATTCAGAAGGAGAAATACATAACAGTATCTACTTTCACAAAATAAAAACACTTAACTGAAAATAGACTTATGAGGCTATATAAAAATATTAGTTATTACAGATTTTAATAACTAACGTGACAAAAAGGTTTATTAACTGTAAATAGAGGTAGCACTGTCAGATATATATTTTTGTGAACACCAACGAACACTCACGTACTTACTTTTCTGACAGTTTCAGCAACTCTTCTTCTGAAGACCCATTCAATTATCTACAAAAAAAAAGAAACTGAAGTTAGCAAAAAATGCATATATATTCATAAGTACATTTTTTCTTTTAAGTAAACCAGACATTTAAAATCTAAATCTTTCAACCACCTGTCTCCCATGATCTGTCTGAATTAGTATGGAGTAATTCACTGTACTCAATTAAGAAAGCATATGAACTATTAGGCTGAATTCACAATATCAAAAAACTTCCCATGACAAATTATTACAGATACAACACTTTCCTAATAAGTTCCAGAGTTTTCTTTCCCTTTTATCATCTTTTACTCACTATCTCAAGTCTCAGTTTTTCTTCCATTTGTTAGCAAAAGCCTTTGGAAACTACTGTAACTGCTTTCTTAAAAACATTCAGAAAAATATTTAATATATTCACGTAACCTATATTTATTTAAGTGTCCTCCAGTATCATTAAGTAGAGAAAAATAAGACTCAGTTGCATGTGATGAGAGGTTAATGAAAAGTTTAACAAATGCTTTTCCTTTGGTAACAGATAGTAAATCCTGATGAAGTAGCTCTTTCTTTAACTGTAATAAGCCTTTATGTTCAGAGATTTTGACCCTACCACTGGTACAAGGGAACCAGGGTATCTCCTTAAAAGTTTGTTCCATTTTGTAACAGACTTGACCTTAAGTATGTTCCATAACCAAGACACATGACTAGCCTGATGCAGCCACAGATTATAAATCAAAAGCTGACTAAACCAACAGAGTTTGGTTGGTCCTGGTTTTGTTAAGGGTAAGAGCTAGAGTGTCTGCTGTCCCTGCCCTCACCACTGTGCTCCACCTAACAGTTACTAATTCTGAAACCATTGCTCATATTGCTGTATTTGTTGGTCAGGCATATCCATCGGAAGAACCTTCCTGGCACTTTCACAGTAACTGCTTCAACTTTTCTTCATTCTCTACTTCAGGGACTTTTGCTAAAGCCTTAAAAATTCATACCAGGGGCTACACGTGCACTAACTGTTCTTAGACTGACACTGTGCCCTCTCATTCTCACGTCACCAGGAGGGTGCTCTATCTGCTCTTACACTGTCCCCATAATCGTCTTTTCTTTGTACCTACAACAGTACCTGAATGCTCCTGTGTTTTACATGTAGCAGGAGGGACAGAATTAGCCGAGGCAAGACAAAATCATTACACTGGAAGAG